AGAGACACACAGAGACACACAGAGACACACAGAGACACACAGAGACTCACAGAGACACACAGAGACACACAGAGACACACAGAGACACACAGAGACACACAGAGACACACAGAGACACACACACACACACTGAAAGCAGAAACGCCACAGGTTGTCCTCCGTCTCATGGAAAATGTGATGGGCTGCAGCGAACTTCTTCAGCAACTCACGGGTTGCACGTGCGATGCGGATGGACTCTCGAGCGTACCTCGGCTGTCGCGACATGGGCAGCGGTTCGCGACTCCGGGCTAATGTTGGAGAAGGGCTGTTCCGCACTGACCGCGTCGTTCTCCTTTGCTGCCTTCATCGTGATATCCACATAAACCTCAGCAGCCGTGCCACAGAACGTTTCTACGTGTTTGGAAAGGCGCCCAAAGATGTGGGATGTTTACGCGGACACGAACAACACAGACCACCACAGAAGTTTGTTTCCAAAGCATTGAGCTTGCAAGTCTCGAAGTCAAGGACCAAGACACTGCCAAGATCACATTGAAAATGCCCATCGACACGAGCATGTAACTCGCAACGTAGCATGCCTGCAGGATTGTGATGCTCTTCAAATCGTCGCAAGAGGCTAATCTCTCGACATCGCGTGCACAACGAAAGGTAGACCCGTTAAAACAACTTCTCGCACATCTGCAGGGTCAGTCCCATACGCTGCCCCACAATGCTCCCCTCAGCTCCCGCCACAAAGGGCACACCGAACTCGTCTGTCAGAATTGATGGGATGGATCGACCTTCATCAGTGACCTGAGTGGGACGATATTTTGGCCAGCTTAGGATACGTCACTGCGAACATCGATCTTTGCGACAATGTATGTGTTGGTAAGAATAACCTCAGTCCCCGGTTGCAAGCTTGCCCCCCCCAACCCATTGCAACAAGCTTCAATCTGTGTCTTCGAACCACCCCACAATGCCCCAGCAACAATTTGCGGACCGTAGCGACAGCACGCTTGCAAGTTCAATTGGCAAACGATGACTGGGACGAGACCAGATGCTTGATAGTGTCCACGTCCCGGGGCTAGAGTTTTGCCAAGCTCAACCGTCGAATTGAAGATGAAGACGCTTGTTGAGACGAGCGGCGCACTCGCCAGTGAAGCATCGGAAAGCTGTAAACATAGACATAGGTATGTTGGTGAAATACACCTGGAGTCCTCAGGGTCGGGTGCTGTCCAGGAGAGACGCCCCAGGAGAACGGCTTTGGTGTCGGATTTGCGGTTGCGGGCTTACGGATCTTACAGATGGACCTTCCGGTCTTCAGGTTCGCTTCGCTCTTTGGAGTTCTCGGCCTTCTGATTCAGGATTCTGTGCACTCCGAGCTGGGGTGAGAGGGGTGGATAGGGTTTCCAATTTTCGCCGTCTACCGGAGGGTTGGTGGGATCGGTTCACTCCTTAGGGCAATCCCTGGATAAGCCAAGTGCTGGCAGGTACCACTTGTTTGGCACCAAAAGTGCAAATCTCCAGCCCTCGCTCGATTGATTTGGAACTTTTTAAAGCTATGCACAGGTCCTAGATGCCAGATTTCCCGAAACCACACGTTGAAACGGATCTTTCACGAGGACCTGAAAAAGAAGGCCAAAGCCAGCACGTGTCTATTGTTGTTGGACATTTGTGCACAGTACGCATCTGATAGTTTCCCATGGTTGCTTTCAGTCTGATAACACTGGGGGCCATAGCCGCTATGTTGGGTTTCTAAGTACTCCCGACTCTCCATTGCCACCGCGATCTGTCCTCATTCCCCCAGCTGTTTCGAAAACATAGAAATCAAGAGCGCGCGACAGGCGGTCGCGATGGCAGAGTTAACACATCAGTTCTAGAGTCCTAGTTCTCGAAGCCGGGCATGACGCCCGATGGCGACTGTGGTAAATCCGGCAATGACGTAGAGAACTGCAGCGAGCAACAAAAATGCCAGGGACCTCGAAGCTGCACAGAAAAGATGTCGGATAGCAGTGCAAAGTGCACCTCTAGACTTCTTGGATGCACTGAGGCATCTGATGTCGACAAACAAACCTGTCTGCCCTGTCGTCAACAACTGCCAAAACGGCATACTGCGAGACTCAAGCAAGGCTTCAAGACACTTTTCGCTCATGCTGCTTTCATGCGGCTGCGGCGGTGCAGCGGAAAGTAGAACCAACCCTGAACAAACTCTGCTCTGGCGGACACTCAACAAAGTCGAGCGGCAGTGCAGCACGGGTGATGCGCATCTGCCAAGCTAAATCCTAAACCCTCAAGCATTTGGCGACTTTTGCTTACAGTAGAACTTGAAGTATCAACCCTTCGAGGCATCATTCGTGTTTTCTTGGCCACAAGCACACACTCATAAACTCAGCTGAGTGACAGTGTCCATACTCCGGCAACAAGTCCTTTGATCATGAGGCGCAAATCTCCTGAATCAGTGGCATCAGAAGCAAAAAAATGCTATTCGGCCTAGGGCCCATTAGGAGTCCATGGTCATCTTGGTGATCTTGCCCCACTTGCTCGCCGACTAGTTTACGTTTTAGACCAAGATTGCAAGATTGCTGGCAATCTTGCTCCCCCTCCCCTTGCAATCTTGGTCTAAAAGGTCAACTAGTCGGTGGGCAAGTGCGGCAAGTGGGGCAAGATTACAAGATTGCTTAGCAATCTTGCTCAAATAATTGTTGTAGATTCCCGGCACACTGTACTAGTAGTAC